CGGGAAAATCCGGACGTATGGTAACCCTAGTTTTAATATTACCTTACCTTCCAGTTATATAAAGTTTGTAAAATAATATAATGTAGTAATGCAGAATCAGTCCCATGATTTACTGAACCAATGTTCCTATCATGCAGAGGTTCCCAAACTATGGGGCACAGCATATGGTTATCGGGGGCACAAGACCTGATGGGGCCATGCTGAAAGGCTAGAGTCAGGAGGGGGCTTTCTCCGGCAGGGGAAGTGGACAGGGCTCTGTGCAGATGGTCTTGGCTGCCGGGATTGGCTCCCTGCCTGCCTTGCTCCTCCACTGCTGCAGCTGCCACAAACCAGTAGTTATGCTCCTCTGTTGGGGACATTGGCAGAGAGAGTGAAACAAACAGCTACATCCTGGGAGTACTGACCCCCTTGCCAGATAGAGCCCTTTCCTGACCCTGGCCCTTCAGTGAAGCTCCAAGGCGCACAGAAAGTAGACAGGGCCAAGCTTACAGGCTAGAGTCAGCAGGGGGCCCTGTCTAGCAGGGGGCCAGTACTCACAGGTGCATCTTTCCACTCCCTTCCAGACCCTGTTGATTTCTGGAGCTGTGTCTCCGCAGCCAAGACTGACTGCAGTGAGCAGAAGGTTTCCTCAACTGTCGCATGGTTAGTAATTCTACTTCTGAGGGCATTCTGCACCAAAAAATTGTGCGCCAAAAAAAAAATATTACAATTCTGCAAAATTCTGCAAATTTTATTTGTCAGATTAATGTGGAGGCTCCATCATGGCATCAGGGAGATCACTGTGTAGCTCCCCCCATCGACCCAGGGACATGGATTCAGTGGTGAGGCTACACCCAACCCTGACACAGTGCAGGGACCTGGCCTGCCTCAGAAACACCCCAGGGCCCAGCTCCTCTGTGTGGGCAGGTAGGCTCAGCAAGGCAGGATCCAAATATGGAGGGGCTTAATGTGGGGGGATCCAGGCATGGGTTGAGAGGGTTTTGTTTGGGGAAATCTGGGTGCGGGTGGCTCAGTGGGGGGATCCGGGTGCAGGGTGGATCTGGATGTACAGGGGCTTGTTGGGGGCTTCTGGGTGCAATGATAATGGGACTCTGCAGGGGGGTCCATAGGAAGGTGGTTGGGGCTCAGTGGCGGGGTGTGGGGGGGTCTGCATGTGGGGGGATAGAGCTTAGCAGGGGGGTCTGCATGTGGGGGATCAATGGGCAGTCCAGATGCTGGGGAAGTGGGTCTCAGTGGGGTGGGGAACCGGGTGCAGCTGGTTGGGGCTTGGTGGGGTGGTGATCTGGGGGCGGATGGCTCGTCGGGGTGATCCAGGTGCAGGGGTAGTGGGGCTCATCGGGGGGGGGGGTTCTGAGTGCAGGGGCATTGAGGCTCAGCGGGAGGGTCTGGGTATGAGGGGGTCTGGATGCACAGGGGTTGGGTGGATGGGGGAGCAGCTCCCTGTACAGGAATCCCTCCCTCTGCAGCTGAGGAACAATGGGTGCAGGAAGCTGGGGGCAGGGGGAGTTTGCAGAGCTTCCTGCAGCCAGGGGAGAAATATGGGGGGGGGGGTCTAACCTGGCCCTAGACGCCATGCAGGGGAAGAAGTAGTCCTGTCCTTCCCAGCCCAGCTGGTACTAGCAGCTGAGCCCGGCGCAGGGTAGGAGCCACCAGCCGGGTCTTCCCCAGTCCTGCCTTCTGCCCCACAATGATTTACCTCTCTGCCAGCTGTCCTGGGTGCCTGAAACATACTGCTGGGGAGGGTTGCATGACCGCTGTTGTAGTTTCCCTTTGCTTCCCTGTCAGAAAGTCATTTTTCTGTGGGGAAGCAAAGAAATCTGCAGGGGACATAATTCTGTGTATTTGCAGTGGTGCAGTATTTCCCCAGGAGTATAACTCCCACCCTCTGTGGTACTGGGGACCCCACCGTTGACCCCTGTGGGTACAGTGTATTCTTCCCCCAGACGGGTGCTAAGAAAACAATCCCGTATTTTTGAAATATAATGTTGGCAATCCTAGGGGCAACCCACAGAGAAAATGTGTGGACCTAGCCCTGCGGGAGAATCTAACAATACATTTGTGGATACAGAGATATGTAGACAAGGAAAGCACTTAAATAAGGAATGTGCGGGGTGGTCAGCTGGGGATAGCTGAAGCAACAACAACAAGTGTTTGTGAACCAACTGTGACATGGATTGACCAGTGCAAAGAGGTCCATACAATAGCTGAACCATAAAAGAATGCTCTTGCTAAAATTTTGCATTCATGTTTTAAAATGTATATATTTAAAATATGTAGTAAAAGTCTTGTGCCATGACAAGGTGTAATGACAGATTCAGTCTGAGGATGAAATGACAGAAATGGGAATACTAGTGGAGTTTTAGCTCAAAATGTTGTACGTTAACTCAGTAGTGAATAAGTGACAGAGCCAAAAACCAGAATGTCAGTATTTATGTCTAGAAATGAAGTTAATCTAATCAGAGGTATTACCGAAGCAGCAGGAGAAATAAGAATGCAAAGACTCAGAAAATACAAGAAAACAAGCATAAATTTTTGTGTCATCAGCATACAACAAATAAGGAAAGCAAGAAAAATGAGGAAGGGCATCATGTGGTTGACAGTATAAAGAGAAAAGCAGCAGGCCTAAAACCTAGAACCTGGTAGAACAGCCACCCACCCACCCAGATTATGCAAAGAAGATTGCTTCCTTGTGACTATAAAGCTACAAGACTAACTAGAAAATACTGCTGTAGATACCAGCTTTTAATGAGTTCAGAAAAAGGCATCATAACATCTAGTGTGTCAAATGCTGCAAAAAAATCCAATAGAATCAGGACAGATGTCAGTCTACCCAATTTAGCCACAATAAAAGTGAAGACACGTTAACAATAGCAGTTTACGTTGTGTGTCCTGATTTGAACCTCAACTCAACCAGATTAAATGTGGAAGGAGATGTTTCAAGAAGGAATGCAGCACCAAGCATTCTAAACATTTTGAGATAAATAGGCACAGAATTAGTAGTAGTAATAATTCATTATAGATGGAAGAAAGTTTGATTAAAAATGGTCTCAAGTTGCAGTGGGGGAGGTTTAGGCTGGATATTAGGAAACACTATTTCACTAGGAGGGTGGTGAAGCACTGGAATGGGTTACCTAGGGAGGTGGTGGAATCTCCATCCTTAGAGGTTTTTAAGGCCCGGCTTGACAAAGCCCTGGCTTGGATGATTTAGTTGGTGTTGGTCCTGGTTTGAACAGGGGGTTGGACTAGATGACCTCCTGAGGTCTCTTCCAACCCTAATTTTCTATGATTGCCTTGGGAGAGAATAGCAATACAGGTGATCTTAAATTCCACCCACAATCCCAAGTACCACTTAAAATGTCAGATTAGCTGGATATCTCTGCTAAAATGATCAGAGAAAGTTAGTGTAGAAATTTAAATAGTTTGGCTTCAGAGTTAACACAGGATAAAATTAGAATCACTAGTGGCTGCCACACCATGGGTGAGCTAATTATTAAAAAAAGCAAATCAGGAGCTGCCACCTCCATAAAAGCTAACATTAAAAGCCCCCAAACAAGATGTCAATGTATCCCAGTCTAACACAAACAACTCTCTCCACTTCCATTTTGTTGGGGGGAAGGGAGAAATAAAGCCCCATCTTTAGAGCCCTGCAAATCTGCAGATTACAGTTAGACTGTCAACACACAGGACACATGTAAAAGAAATGCATATCCAAAATTAAGGGGACACACCTAGGAGACACAAATCAAAGGACATAATATCTTTCCTAGAGTTCTCCATGCCATCCTAAGGCACAAGATCAAGGAATGTAAAAGTTCTGGAGTTAAAGTGATTGGTATAGTTATTGGTCTAGTTAAAGTGGTCTAGTTATTCCTATTTTGAGGCATATTTTCTGGAGGTCTGAATTCACCAATAACAAATTCCAATTCCAAACAGACACCCAATAAACAACTATTTCCAACATTGTACACCAATTGCTCACTTCAGACAACGTCAACTCCTAGTTATCACAAACATCAGTCTCAGCTCTGTTCACTGCGGTACACTTTAGCCTGCAGCTATACATCAGAGCCCAAATCCACTGCTTCTCAGGGATTAACATCAGCAAGGTATCTCCAGGGCTGCAGATCTGCTCCAGAGAACATAAAGTAGAACACTCTAGCTATAGCCAAACAATGCTTAAATATGGAGAAAATATTGCAGTAGAGCTACGTTATGGGTCTCCAACAGGCTCTGAGTATTACTGACAGAAAGACTAAGCAGTTTAATTGTGCCACCACAGTAACTTCCTTTCACTAGTGTAGGAAATCTCACCGGTGAACCACCTCCTAACAGCTAGCAAAATGGCAAGTCTGGAGAATGCACTGTGTTTTTTGAACTTCATCCGGTCTCTAACTGAGTGGAAAGAAGAGAACAAACTAAAGTGCTGCATAGAAAAGAGTAGAGCACCCCATTATGAAGATCCCTCATTCAATCTCCAGTACTTTCTACTGTGTAATACTGCACCATTTAAGTCAATTGGAGATTTGCCATTTACTTCACAAGGAGTAGGGCCCTAAGCTGGAGCGGCGCCAGGGTTTTTGCTACCCTAGGCGGCAGCGCTCCTCTGAGCATTCGGTGGAGGGGGGTCCTTCCACTCCGCGTCTTCGGGACACTTCAGCAGTGGGTCCCAGAGTGAGTGAAGGACCCGCCGCCGAATTTCCGCCAAAGATCCGGAGCAGAAGGACCCCCCCGCTGCCAAATTTCCGCCGAGGACGGCAAAATGCCGCCCCCCCAAATCCTGCTGCCCTAGGCAACCGCCTAGGGTTGCCTAGTGGAAGCGCCGGCCCTGGCCCTAAGCAAGTGTTCTTTGGATTGGTCAACCAGAACACACAGTTTGAGCAGATTTTTTTTACTGATTTAAGCTAAATTGAAATAGGATAAGCTCCCCAAGATAAGTGTCCACACAAAAAGGTTGCATCAATTTAACTAAAATAGTTTGTGTGTAAACAAGCCCTTTGAGTCTCCGTAATGTTCTTCAGAGGTTGGACTAGATGATCTCCTGAGGTCCCTTCTAACCCTGATATTCTATGATTCTATGATTTCATGTTCTTTGAACAAACTACAAAATCATATTAATCCATTTTAAGGCCAGAAGGGACCATTAGATCATCTGGTCTGACCTCCAATATAATAGTGACCATAGAATTTGACCTAGTTACTCGTGGCTTGAGCTCGATAAGTTCTGTTTGACTATAAATAGAAGCTATCATATTAGAAAGGAGAGAGATTTATAACAAATAAAAACCTCCATATAGCTGGGAATAAAGTCATCTTCCTCATGTATTCTTAAATTTAAATACTTTGAACTGCTCTTCATTAGAATGATTCCAGCTGCTTTCTTCTCTTGCATTAACCTGACTAACCTGTAGTTACAACTACTCCTTTAAACTAAATAGAAGTTTAAAAAAATAACAGACTCAGAGATAGATCCTGTCTTTCCTCTTGTGTCTCCTTGGAACGAGAAGGTTAAAAAAACCTGACCTGTAACCAAGTCTGTCAATTTTGCTATTTTGAGTACCAGTATTTCAGTTTCTGGAAGGTTTTCATATGTGAAGTAGGCCTTTCACTGGCCTTTTATAGCAGCAATCAATCTCTGTAAAGTCACCAAACCAAAACTATTATGAATTCAGTTTATGTGACTTTCTCCCTGCATGTGTGTGCTTGCTCCTGACATTCTAATTCTGCAACAACTGCCCTCCTTGGTCTCAGTAGGCAAAACAGAGTGGACAGGATGGCATTCAGGAATTTAAGTATATTTTAAAAGATGTGTGAGACTTTCAAAGAGTCAGATGGCAGAAAACAACAGACATGTCTGACAAAGGCAACAGAGGGCCCTCTAATAGGGAATGAACAAGACAGATGAAGAT